TATATATATATATATATATATATATATATATATATATATTTCTTTTTGATATTTCATATAGATTTGAACAATTTTTATTTAATATAAAAGTTTGTATATACAACAACATGATGCTTAAAGTTATAAAGTATATGATTTACAAGGATAAATTAGTGGGTTGTTCATCTGAGGCAAAAAAATGAATTATTCACTAGTTTGCTAAATATTTTCACTATCCACAAATATATAGTAGCTATAACAAGTGGCAAGTAATCTAGGAAATAAAAATTTGTGAAAAAATAGAACTTTTTAAGAATAATGAATGGATTATATAGGTTATACTTTCCTCGTAATAAACTCAAAAAGGTTGAAGTTCAATTAAACCATATCTAATTGTACCAATAGTATGGATAATTGTAAAATTGACCTAACCTCTCTTTCGAGCAAGTTAAATCGCTGATTAGTTGCTATATATCTCCTATTAGTATAAAGATGAATAATTAACTCCCTCAATTTTTAAGATTCTAATTCTCTCCCGCAATTCTGTCAACCTCTCGGTTTATTTAGTTTCTTACGTTATAAATTTCTCAATTCTAGGACTAAACTCTCTCCTCCCGGTCTAAAGTCGATCACAAATATTCATAAATCATAGTCCTCTGCTCATACAATAAGAATAACCACAAGAAATTTACAAATCATATAAATCATATAAATCAAAATGAATCGAATAAAAACTATATCATAGAATAACCATCCTAATACTAACATATATATCCTAGAATCTGAAGAAAACTAGCCTAGAAACATGGATTAAAAACCATAAAAATAGCAATAAAGCATTGAGTTCAGATGAGAAGAAAAAAAATAAGTAAAGCTTATTCGGCTTTTCCTAGCTTCTTCTAGTATGTTTTCTTGCTCGTCTTGTGACTCATGTCACATATCTAACGACTCGCATGGCTCTTCAGAGTCTAAGTTTTAAGTTAACTGAAGAACGTCGGGTAATTGTGACTTAGGAGGCACTAGCATTACGTAAAAATTGATATTCATCAAGTTCGCTCAGCCTCGTAATTAAGGATATTGTTACTAGTATGGCTGCAAACAAACAGAGCGGCTCGCGAGCCGCTTACGAGCGCTCGAGTCGAGCTCGAGCCCATATTATGCATTGTCGAGCGGTTCGAAATATATGTTGAATTACTAAAATACCTCACACACACACACACACACACATATATATATATATATATTTATAGTATAGCATATGTGCTTAATGGTAATTTTAATTTTCCACTTAAAAATTTTTGAGCAAGCTCGAGCGATTGTATTTTTTTATCGAGTCGAGCTCGTATCTTATAAATCAATCCTGCTCGATAAGATCAATACTCAACTCGGTTCGCCTCGTTTGCAGCCCCAGTTATTAATCAAAAAAAGTAAGGATATTTTTAGGCATATCTAACAGTGAAGTAAATATACTTTATAAACATACATGCAAATTAATTTGTAGATTAAAAAATTATATTTTTAAAAATAACATTAAAAAAATTGCATTTTAGAACAGAAATATGACTTTTAGTTAAGAGGATATGAATGATGGACCAACTAGTCTATAACAACAGACTCGTTTATGAAAAAATTTATGCTCGCACAAACGAATACAAGCACACTACTCTGTCTGTCTACTTGCGTCTGCAAACATGCCTAGGCCTAGACACAATATCATGTAACTTAGAATCTGTCAACGCGTTATCGTCCTAAAAATTAGAACAGTAAAGATGGGAACTGAGTCAACTCGGACGACTCAGTGTCAGCAGGAATCGGATTCGCCTGTGGACCATCACATTTTGAAGGCCTTCTTTAAGGATGTCCTATCTATCTCAAAAGCCGAAAATGCCAACCTTAAATAGAAAGCGCCAAATTTTACGCCCATCCATTTGCAAATTCAAGAAGCATTTCTATGCAATCCATCAAGTATGTGGCCACGTATTATTTTACTAAAAACAGGTCTAATTGCAAAACGATATAGGTCAAAATTATTTTAAATTTAAATAAAAAGTGGAAATCCAATCAAATCTCCAGGAAACAACGATAAAATTATCTACTTTTATTTATACATACTTTTATTTATATTTTTTTTAATACGGTCTTTCAATTAATTAATCCTACTGTGATTAGTAATATATATAGCGCCATTCCATTTTCCTCTTGCTCGTCTTTATTCTACTATTTTTGACCATTTTCTTATTTTTGACCATTTTCTTTTCACTTTCAAATCTTCTACGTTCTTTTCATTCTTCTTGGGAAATGGGGTTAGGGTAATAAAAAACATAAAAGATTTCAAAGAAAAGCACACATCCATATCGTCCAAATAGATTAGGTTTTTGGAGGAGCTCACTTTTTTCTCAAAATTCATGTGATACAAAGCAAAAACAACATAAAGCATTTGTCTCCGGGTATTAGTACAAATAGGCACTTATTTATATAATATAAGAAAACGGGTCTTGGCTATTTTCAACACTCATCCATCACACAAAGCTGGCGCCAAATTCCATGTCAACTATGTGTTCAAAGCACCACGCCAACCTGCTTTCAGTAAAGAGGGAAACATTTGCGTCAATTTTTTCTTGTCCAAATTTAAAAGGAATAAGGAAAGAACAAATTTTGCATTGATCTTGTAGCGGCAAAGTTGTGGAATACAGTTCGAGCACATACCGTAAAGTCCACAGATCAACTCATATTCCCTAAGCATACATATTTAATCTGCAAGCAAAACATATTGTTAACTCATCTGAGAATTACACCAACACATTGCAAAATTGAACGTAAAAAGAGAGAAAGAGATCATAATTTACATACTTCTAAATATTCATCCATCCCATACTTTGACCCTTCGCGGCCAAGGCCAGATTGCTTCACGCCTCCAAATGGGGCCACCTTACATCAAAAGAAAGACGGGTCAATAAATGATGAAACCATTTGGGAGAAAGGGGGAAGCTTTCAATTCAACCCACTTTGATTTTACTAATTTCTCAATATGAAAAGATTAACCTCAGTCGAGATTAGTCCTTCGTTCACTCCAACAAGCCCATAGTCAAGAGCTTCAGATACACGCCAAGATCGTTGAATATTTGTTGTGAAGATGTAGGCAGCCAGACCTACAGAATAAGAGATACTTTTATGTTTCAATTTTTCTTTTTTTTTTTCATCAAAACAAAGAACTTAACAAGCACCTTAAATCACAATGTCATACCAATACAAGTTTGTACTTTTGAATTTCATCACAGAAGGTTAGATTCTCCAGAATTACCTGCATTGGTCTCGTTAGCCATGCGGATAGCTTCTTCCTCGGTTTTAAATTTAAGAAGGGGTGCAACCGGCCCAAACACTTCCTCCCTGGAATGGGAAAATAAAATGGGTGTTTAACTAAAGAAACAAACAGTTGAAACTCAAGCATAAATAAGATACATGTTAATACATAGAAGCACAAATATTATTAGTTCATGAAAGATCTTATGAAGCACAGAAGATCAAATGAGATGATTACCATTTGACCTTCCATGGAACTAAAAACGATCAATTCAATTACCAAGATAAAACAAACATAACCATATGGAATTATCTATTTTCAATTGCTGCACAATTCTAGATTGACAACAAGCAAATGAACATGATTGATCTGTTTCATTTGTCTTATGCTCTACTCGGCTAAGGAACTCTACTCTTCAAATTCAGAAGACCTAAAGAAACAAAAATAAAATAAAACAACAAAGAAGAAAAAAACAGGGACTTAATTATTATGCATTGAGTTCAGTGTCATTAATGGCGGATGGCGGTGAATGGTGGTGGCAGGCCAAAATCCCGCCATAACCGCCACCCTTCAAAAATTTAGTATGGCGGTTTGCCGAAAATCCGCCATGCCATGGCCACCATTTGATTACACTAATTGAGTTCAATGCATTTCGAGTGACCTAATGTTTAAGAGATACATGTTATCATTTTCCAGGAAATAACCAACAAGCACAAATCGGAGTCATATATGAATAACAAGCAGTCTACATGTCTTTTCCTTATGTTTTGCCTGTGATAAATGTGATAAATGGGGTTGGGTAGAACTGATCCACAAAAGCTAGCTCAAAGAGAGTGTGTCCAGCCCACACTTATACTCAGTAACTAATCGATGTGGGACAAACATAATTTGTAATACCTGCCCTCACTCATAGCGTACCAATTCAAATGGGCCAGGTCCAAAGCCCAAATCCCCTCCAAACAAACAAACTTGGGCGCTCTTATACCATGTTAAATGGGCCTTCGTATAACTCATCCCCAAAAGCTAGCTCAAAAGGGAGACGGTGACCCAGCCCATACTCATACACAATAGCATTTCAGGTGACCCAGCCCATACTTATACACAATAGCATTTCAGTAACTAATCGATGTGGGACAAAGTTCATAACTTCTAACAGCCTGTGACTAAAGGCATTTCCAAGTCTAAGATATTAACAACTCAATGGACACTGTAATAGTTTGAAAGAACAGTTTTATTTCGAATGAAGCAATTTCACATAACATGTTTACCAAAAGTGGGAGACAATAGACATTTTCAGGAATCTGAAAAAGACAAGCGTGAATCTTTCTGTCCTAAGGCATCAACTCTACGTACTGACCCTATAATAACATTGATATGAAATCTGATTATCAGATTAATTTCGCCTACATATTAATGTTACCTTGATATCCGCATGTCACTGTTGACCTCAGTTATTACCGTAGGCTCATAATATGTCATCCCAAGGCTGTGTCTCTTGCCGCCAATGCGGACTTTAGCTCCCTTGAACCAAAAAACAAATTTATCAGTCCACGCAATATGAATGATCAAAGATAATGGCATGTCGTCTCGTCTCCCATGTTGTTATCAGAGTACTTAATTTCTCAACAACTAAACATAATAGTAACTCAACAATTCAACGCCCTCAGCAGCTAATAAAACAGTTCATCTTTGTAAGTCTCCATAGTTTATCATTTAGCTGGGAAAAGGATTGGAAACTTTTTCACTTGACTTTCCAGACAGGCCTTTTTTCGCTAGAACAAACCCCCGGTCCATAAGTTAATATGTCTCAGTTAGGTATATTAACAGTTTCATACCTGTTGCCTGAAACAGGATCTACTCAAATTTGAGAGGACAAGTTTACTTGAAAAACAATGGCATTGAACTCTCATGGAGAATGGGTTGTAGCAGCTATCATATCACTAAGCAACAAACCAACCTTTGAGATGGCATCTTCGACCAACGATTCAACCTGCAAGTCAACTCTAAGATGGTCATTTACAGGTAAAGTGCGAGATTTTTAAAACATAAATTGCAAATGTGAACAGAAAACTAACTTTGTGTACTGCAGCATCATTTATCAAAGGGCCCTGCAAGAAATGTAAAAGATAAAAGTTAAGCAATGTCATTTCTGTTCTACCTCAGACAATGAGAACAGTAACTGTGGACCTACTAACTGTATGCAATATAGTAGGACAACTTTGTCATGAATTTTATAAATAGAGGCTTCTGACTACCTGTACCACACCATCGCCAAAGCCATTCCCAACTTTCATGCTCTCAACCGCATTTGAGAAGGCATGTGCGAATTTCTCATATATACCTACAACAAGAAATCAGAGAAATAAAAACAAGAAACATCAGTATAACTATTATGACAGGAGCGGTAAAAACATAATCAGAATTTATAAGACAAGGCTGATTAAGTTAGAAAATCAAGAGAGTGAGAAGGGACATTATAAAAAATGCATTTTAGCAGTGTAGAAGATCGATATCATACAATTAACAATATTGAAAAAGGAATTTGTCATGGTAACAATTCTCACCCAAAAGTATTCACATGAATATGTACAAATGCAATTAACAAAAGGTAGTTCAATTTTACAGGACTTGCAGAATACCTTCTTGCACTAGTATTCTATTTGCGCAGACACATGTTTGGCCACTGTTCCGGAATTTTGTTGCCAGCTGTCAATGCATAGTATTACTGTAAGAAGGTCGCTAAACTGAGCATATAATATAAAGCAATAAAACTACTCAACCAGCTGAGATCCTAAAGTTTCCATCATAAATATCGCAAGATGATCCAAAAACTTGAACGACCCATCCGCCTTTTACTGATATATGATGAAATTCACGAATCTTGGTCTTTCATGTTCATCTAAATGGCTGTATTTACACCATATATATGACAAGACTACTTAATGTTTTATAACTAACAAATCACGAGGTGGTTGATTTAAATAAATAAAGTGAACTGAATCCCCCATGCTGCATGTTAAACACCATGTGAATGGTGTTATAACATTTGGAGACCAATTTAACCTACCATTGACAACTGATGTTCAATAAGACAAATTGTACATATTACAGATGCATGAAAAGGTTGCCGTCGTGGATACAGTTCAATTGCCAGATCTGATGGCAAAACAATCGAACCAAGTAAGAACTTTTTAACACATTCAAATATTTCTCCAATAAGTTTATTATGGGAGACTGCACTAGGTTACTGAATAATTACATTAAATATGTATTTACATTTGTAATGTGTCAAGTGAGTGCATGTACTTTATCCTGAGCTAAGTGCACGGAAAAAATGATAAAATGATGTTAGTTTCATGTTAAAGTAACACACCATGTCAAAGTTGTCAAATCCTAACAGTACACACAACAATTAGAAAATGAGACTGCTCTTACAGTTCCTTTTAAAGCAATGTCAAGATCTGCATCGTCGAAAACCACACAGGGCGCATTGCCACCAAGTTCTAGGGACACCTACAAATAAGAAAAACAAATCAGCTATGAACAACAGCTATAGTTTGAGGATGCAGAAATAGTCATCCCATACCTTTTTAACCGTCTCTGCAGCACCTGCCATCAATTTTTTCCCGACAGCTGTTGAGCCTGTAAATGTGATTTTTCTCACCTAATACAATTTCCACAATAAAAGTAAACAGATAATTATACAAAAATTCAAATTTTTAATACATCCATACTTAAAGATAATGCATCAGAACCTGGGGGCTCGCGAGTAGAGCATCTCCAATTTCTGGTGCATTTCCCATTACAACATTTACTGCACCCTATCACTCAGAAATTATCATGATATAAACAACACGGAAAGAAAGAGATTAATGACTAAGGACCGAAATTTTCAAAAGAGAAGCTAGGATAGCAGAGATACAAAGAAAACCATACAAAGAAAAGCAACAAGCAATGTGCATTCCAATGTTCATATTAAATTGATTTCTCCTAAGAACATCTAATGCTGTTGGGCTCAACAGAGTTGTATTTTTCCAGCATTCCTCTGTCTCAGACTCTCATATTCTATTGCATCTGAAATATGATGATTTTATAACCTTTCCACGCCTCATAGTTGATAAAGGAAGCTCTACTACACCTCTTTGATATGTTACATCAGTGGTCAGCTTAGTTGATACCTTTAGTTACTTGATTTTAGCAGAATAATCCTATTAGCAGTAGTGTTTCCAAACCCCAATATCTTCTTATTTCTCCCGAGTTATTGGAACTTCTTCATTTTACAGTAACAGATTGTACACAAGAAATAAACCTATTCATGTAGGACAACACAAAGTAGTACAAGCATCTATACAGAGTTAATAGCTTAGAATCAGAACTACCGGTGGTATGCCAGCTTGAATAGAGAGTTCAGCTGCTGCCAATGCAGTCAATGGAGTCAGTTCAGAGGGTTTTACTACAACAGTGCATCCACAAGCAAGGGCAGGGGCAACCTGGTACCAGGACAAATCATCCATCAATTTTATGACAACTTATCCACAAGAGAATGGGGTATTATTGAAAATATAGAGTGATAATTCCAAACACCTTGCGTGTAATCATAGCCAAAGGGAAATTCCAAGGTGTAACTGCCCCAACAACACCAACTGGCTGCAAGAAATTTTTCCTTCATCAGTATTACATATGTCCAGAAGAGCAACAAGGTTTACAACGAACTCATAGACCCACAAAAGGACTGTCAATTAGTAACATAACAATACACAGGATGACCAAATGGATGAGGAACTCTTTTAAATTTACAAAATTAATTTCCCTTAATTAATCTACTAAAGCATCAGCATTCTTTCACAATTCGTTAAGTTCTTTTTTTTTTAATCTATAAATGAACTGACTTTCAGAATTCTACTTAGCGCGTAGAAAACTTCTTGGAGTTCATTTCCTAGAGTTCCGCAATATAATGAGTAGTGGTAACATGAGTAACAAAATTGCAACATCAGGACTGCATTTCACTAAAGAAACAATACGCACGTGCCCAAACTAGAAAATAAGATGTTCAAGATCAGAAAGAAATAAATTGTACCAGATTAACATCGTGACACATTCTACACAGTACCTAATACTTGATGGTTCGACAAATTTCTATTTACTGATAAAATAATGTTATAAAGTAACACCCTACACATCCAAGAATTTACAGTTTACTCTTGAACTGTATATCTGGTCTTATGAGGTATGATTGCATCCTACAATGTCACGCAGAATAGAAGTAAAACTACGCCTAATATTAAAAATTTAAACAATCTTTTGTTCAGAAAACGATATATCTGTGTCTCCGTGAGAATGCTCTTAGTAGTTGTACAAACAGACACCAAAGTTATGGATGCTCCTCTTTTAATGTCAAACAATGCTCAGCTGTCGAATTATAATAAATGAGATATAAGGATTTTAAAACATAGGACAAATTACCTGCTTTAAAACAAATAGACGACGATCTGGCAAAGTCGGTGGAATAATGTCACCATACACTCGTTTAGCCTCTTCAGCATAGAACTCCACAAAACTCGCCCCATAACTAACCTGTACAGCTCAAGTTCATAGATGCTCTGAAGAAACATAAAGCCAAAATTATTTTTGTTTCAGCAAACTTAGAGAATCAAGTACCTCACCAATGGCCTCTTTCAGAGGTTTTCCTTGCTCCAATGTCATAAGTTGACCAAGCTCTTCTTTGTGGGCCATCAACAAATCATACCATTTTCTTAAACATTTACTCCTTTCGGAAGCAGTTAGCTTGCTCCAGGCTTAGGTTTAAAGGTGTAAAATAATCAGACAACATGAAACAAATTTTGATTCCACAATAACAAAAATAAAATTAGAAAAAGTATGGATTCGTTCATAAGTCAGAACAGCCTTCAAGAACAAAGATTTACTTACATACTTCTTGTAATGCAGCCCAAAAAGGAGAGGACCAAAAAACAAATTAAAAACAGAACAGCAGATGGAATGGCCTGAAGAAACTCACAAAGAAATGCATCATGTGCTGAAGTAATTGCATCATTCGTTTCCCTTCTACCCATGCATGAAACATTTGTTATTACTTCACCAGTTGCAGGATTTTGGACCTGACCGAAAAGGCAATACGTATTAATCCACTGTTGCTTTCAGAAAAACCTACTCACAAGTTCACTTCCTGTATTGGCCTTTTCATCAACAATAAATGAGCTGCCTAACCTCAATAGTCTTCCCATCGTATGCATCCGTCCATTTTCCTCCTATAAATCCCTGACTTCGAATAAAGCCCGCACTGTTTAAGCGAGCAGCAATACTCTGAGCATCCGTACTCATCTGCCATTGAAAAGAAAAAAAGTTCCCTTTGTTCTCAAATCACAGTTTTCAAATGGAATCATGCATGTATACAGTATTAGTAGCAGTGAAAAACAAGAATCAAAGCATTAAATTCAATGCAACACTCCATTAATAACCAAAAAATCTTCAGCCATTAATCAAATTGAATTCAGCAAATCTAGAGAAGACAGGACTATTTTGCTCGCGAATAACTTGAAGATGAATCCAAATCAAGTGTGCAGGTAATTTCTACGCTGAGTAACAAAATCATTCCCCTAAACTCACAATGAAGGAAGAAACACGATCTGATCAAACAGGTGTTCAAAGCTCTTGAAAAGCGTAAACAAAATTGATCAAATCCAAAGAAGTAGAGAAACTGCGAGTACCTGATGAGAATAAATAGCAGCAGACGGTGGGCGTGGTGAACGAGAGGTGTTGAGAAAGCTGACTGAGCAGCGGCGGAAAGCCATGCCTATGCGTGTCCACCCCATTTGCTTCGCAAGTGTCATCCTCATTCTGTCTATTGCAATGTGTTCAATTTATCCGAGATATTACTATGTTATTCAGATATTTTTTTATTAATTTTCATGTTGAGTAACAAAGTGATTGAAAAAGTCGAATTTGATTTGCTAACTGAGTCTACGGAGTATCATATTGTTAATCTTTGAAAATTTTGAGTTTTTCCAGCTCTTCTGCTGATGTGCTGTCCGCTGTCGCGATGCTCTTCCATGTAACTACTGCTTTGATTAATGACCAAAAAACATATATTAAATAAATCAAATTATTAACATATATGCTCCCTCGTGTAATCATAAGTGTTCGTTCTAAAATGGGAATTTCGTTT